TTATTTATTGTGTGTGTGTGTGTGTGTGTGTGTGTGTGTGTGTGTGTGGCCAGCTCAGCCCACCAGGGGGCGGCCCTGGCTGGCATGTGGTGCTGGGGGGTCGAACCGCGGTCCCTGTGCTTTGCCAAGCTTGTTTCAAGTAGGTGCTTTAGACCACTGAGCCATCTCTCCAGCCCCTACCTTTTCTTGGGTTGCTTGGTCTTGTCCTACTGATTTGCTCCGAATGCCTTCAGGGCAGGTTTGGTGGCTTGAGTTGTGGGGATCGAACCACAGCAACCTGAGCCTGAATGCTTTGTTGAAGCAGCCACTTAAAGAACTGAGCTAAGGGGCAGGCCTCCTTGTCCTAATGATTTGTAAAAGTTCTATCAAGGAACTTGGATTAAAAGCACTTTCTTTCTTCCCGAGCTTTCCAGGGAGCAGAACACGCCTCTGAGCTGTAAGACCCTCTGTGCTCAGCCAGGCCCTTCATGCCGAGATCTTACTTTGTATGGTGTCCTCCCATTTCCTTGAGCAGGAGAGGGAAGCAAATTTTTGGTTAATTAAAAACTCCTCACTGCTTTGTCTGTAGATTTACTAAAGAATTTGCCCTCTTACCTCAAATTCTGAACATTTAGTTGTCCCCAAACCCTCACTTTTCAGCAACACTCTACGTTCTTATATATTAAGATGGTGCTATTCTAAAGGGTATTTTCCAAAACTGCAACACCGAGTGCCTGGGAGGCCACGGTTCAGCCGATTTTACCCTCCTGTTTGATTTCTCACCAAGTATGCTAGGACATAACGAGTACAGCCATATAGTGCCAACAACAGGGGTGACACTGCAAGCGATGCATGGCTAAGAGACTCCACCACCGCGAGGTGGGGAAGCCCAGGCGCGCGGCCTGTGTACTTCGGCCGTCACTGACCCAAGCCCCACACGATGCGCAGCCGCAGCACTACTTGCTGGCCGGCAGTCTCACGGGGCCTGCACGCCCACCTTCAGGTGACACCAACTAGCCTCTGTGACGCTCACTAGCAGGCGGGGTCACCTACCGTGCACGACCGCACTAGAATCTCACATTTTTCCCTTGCTGCAGGTACTAAGCTTCATCTGTAATCCCTTAATGGGACTACGATCAGGAAACGTTAATCAGCTCTAACGGATCCTTCCCTGGCTGCCCCTCAGCTGCCTGATGGGGAAAGAAGAAAATGACAAGCCAGTACCTTCCCGGATGTCTCTGTCCCTTCTTCCCGTGCCTTTCTTCCTTGCACTTTCCCGGATAGCTGCGGCCCACGGGAACTATACTTAGGCCCCTCCTGAAGCGGCAGCAGCCGGCGGGTCCACCTAAGCCAGAGGCGCTCAGTCAGACGCGATCTCTCACAGCAGAGGGGCTCCTGAACGCACCCTCACCCCTGCCTCGCCCGACAGGCTCACCCCCTTACACGTGGAATATATAAAATCTCAGGCAGTTCGGGTTTTTTGAGGTTTCTTTGGCGGACCGGGGATTGAACTCAGACCCTTGCGCTTACTCCACTGAGCCATCTCCTCGGCCCTGCAGTTTGGGTTCTAAACCCACAAGATGACCTAGAAGTTCACGTAATGTCTTCGCACTTTAGTGTAACAGTAAAAACAAAGGAAGAGGAAGATATTTAGAGAAAATTCCAAGTGCCCAATCTTTTCTGGGATGAGAAAATTTTATTTTCCCACAAGGGAGTCATTAATGTAAAAAAGGGAAAATAGTATCTTGGCAATGCAGACATCTCAGATACCATCTTATTTAAGAAAGCAGAGTTTGGGCCAGGGACATAGCTCAGTAGAATAAGCGCTTGCCTGGCAAGCGCAGGGTTCTGAGTTCAATCCCCAGTACCGCAAAAAAAAAAAAAAAAAAGCAAGCAAAGTTAAGTTTGGTGGGTCTGAGAGATACCACACACCGCATAACAGACAAGAAGACCCAAGGTCTATTCCCACCCAGAATGCAACACCTGAATTGTGGGAGAAAACATCAGTCCAACTTGAACTGAGGAGCAGTCTACAGGGTAACTGCCACAAGCGCGGTTAAAAGACTGATGGATGGTTCTAGACTCAGGTCTATCTGGGTATGCAAGAGCATTGTGTCCGCAGCAGAGTCCTCCGGGCTGATCATTACACTGCAGTTAAAGTTCTTGCTTTTAGCAAATAATCTCCTAGAGATTTCAAGGGAAAGAGGCAACCCAGCTGCAGGATACTTCTGAATGCTTCAGAGAAAAAAAATACAAACTCACACATATGAGAGGATGATAAATGTGGCAAAATGTCGTATTTGGAGAATCTGGGTGAGGATACACAGAAATTCTTCATACTGTTCTGGTAATTGTTGTCTAAGTCTGATACTGCTTCAAACTCTTTAAATTGCTTCAAAATAAAAAATAAAATAAATTGTTCAATTCATCTGGGGCCACAAAGCCTTTCCCGGCTGCTCTGGGCTTCAACACTAGGCGGTCGCTAGGGGAGGAGAAACACGCTGTGCAGACTCAGCGCTTCCTGTTCACCTTTACGGTATTCCGTGCACTGGCGTGGAGATGTAAGAACAGAGACGCAGCAACAGCAGCCAAGAAAGCTACGTACCGCCCTTCCCACAGCCCCTACCATCCTGCTGTGTTGGCAGGAAGAGAACTCCCTGAGGGCCCCACACCGCCCCTCCTACCTCCTGGGAAGGCAGGAGCGCGCGCACGGCCGCCTCCCTGCACAGTGCAGTCAGGTCGGCACCCACGTAGCCCACGGTCATCTCCGCCAGCGCGTCCAAATCAACCTCCCGAGAGACTGGCATCTTCGAGGTGATCACCTGCAGAATCTCCTTTCTCTGTTTCAGCGTGGGAGTCCCGATGATCACCTTTTAATAGACACAAAAGAAAAAAATTAAAACATACACTTTCAACTGTCACTTCTTACAGACAGACAGTAATGGAGGAACCACTCTGGACCTAGCACCATGCACATCTGGGCACACCTTAGATTTTTTTTTTTGTATTTTAGGGAAGGGTCTACAGGGTGTACAGGGTCTCACTGCTAGATCATACTTGCAGTGATCCGCCTGTTTATAGCCTCCTAAGAGCTGGGATTACAGGCACGTCCCACCATGCCCAGTCTCAACTGCTGTCTTTAGCGCACCCCCGGGGTGGGACTGGCAGGGCAGGCCTGGGGACACACCTTAGATTTGGAATTTATTAAAACCTCAACTTTTCAGTGGTGTGACAAGTGACCACAAAAATTATGCAGTAAAAATGAAATATATCATTTAACAATTTTTATTATTTGGGGGGAACCTAATCAAGTTCTAGGAGCCTGGGACGGAATACTGAGCCAGAGTTTTGGTCCCCACTCACGTCGGCTGATTCAGGAGACAGTTACTGGATGGGACAAGAAATTCACCCAAGTCCTGAACAGACTAGCCTAAAAATGTGCAATTATCCTCTCTGTAGAATCCCACCACAAAATTCAAACATCACTCACTGAATTTCTTCAGAAACCAAGAATCAACTGAGGAAGAAAATTATAAAATAGGACAGCTTTGAACATTCAACCTTCCACCAGCTGAGCAGCAGGTGTGGGGATTTTCACAACGGTAACCGATTAAACACTGCGAATGCAGAAGTCACGGAGGGTGGCTAGTTACTTCAGCTCCCACTACAGCCAGTCCTCACATTTTCAGTGCAGAAGGAAGCACTGCTGAATCACACAACATACACCATGGTGACCTGTCAACCTGCAAACTGTCCAGTCCTGTTTTAGCCACAAAATCAAGTGCCATCGAGCACTGAGCTCAGAAGAGTTTTGGGTGCTGCAGAACCTCTCCATGACCAGCTACTGGTTCTTTGGTAATCCCTGGTGACTATTCTGCACAAACTTTGGTACCTACGTGGCAATGTGCAGCTCAGCCTCGTTCTACCGTTTGCTGCCATTTCTGGTTTGCTCTGACTGACATGGACTACCTGAAATATTCAGTCTCCCCTCAATTCCAGCATATTCCGGTTAGGCACGATCCCCAATTCCGTTCATGTCACCCCTTGCTGTACAGACCCCCAAAGCATGAGGAAAATGCACCGTCATGTTGTTGCAGTCATATCTGGCAGAATTTTGCGGCACAATAGGTTTGGAAACAGTGCTTTCAACTCCCTGTTACTGCATATTCTAATAGCGACTTTCTGCTAATACCTGTATGCTACCACTTACACAATCTGCAATTAAATACACCCGAGAGACAACTGTTCAACTTCATTTGTGGGACAGTATGCTGGAAGGAGATGAGCTGAAGATTAACGCTAGCTTTGCTTTAGTTCCTCCTTGTCCCCTTTCCATTTCAACACTTTTTGAAGACATCTCTATTTTAAGTTCTCATTGAAATCTACCAGGCTTGTAAGCGACCAGGCTCCCTTCAGGATTCATGTTACTGAGAAGAGTACAGAGCTTATCTTCAAGACCTGCACAGCAAAACTAGTTTCTAAACGCTGCTCTACCTCTTAGAACAGACTCTTGGACAACAGGTCGTGATGTGCACACCATACAACGGGGACTGAACGCGTTCTCTACTGCTTTACAAAGTCCAGGCCCTGGTCCCGCCGCCTCGGTTCCCGGACGGAAGATGCCCAGGGAGGAGGCCACCCCTCCCGGCCCATTCACCTCGCGGTCCAACCTCCCGGGTCTGCGCAGCGCGGGGTCCAGCGCGTCAGGCCGGTTCGTGGTCCCCACCACCACCACGTCGCTGTCGCCGCCGAAGCCGTCCAGGAGCGTCAGCACCTGGGCCACCGCGCGGCTCTCGGGGGCGCGATGCGCGCCGCCCCGCCGGGGACACAGCGCGTCCAGCTCGTCCAGGAGCAGCAGGCTGGGGCCGCGCGCCGCCAGCTCCCGCGCGC